AGCATCGGTTACCATGGTGATCTACCAGTGCAGCATCGGTTACCATGGTGATCTAGCAGTGCAGCATCGGTTACCATGGTGATCTAGCAGGTTGAAAGGGACCTTTGTGACACTAACAACTTATCATACCTTCCAACACTTTCTTCTGAAAACAGAACCACAACAATAGCATAAAATGAGCCTGATATGCCGATTACAGGAGCTGTTTGTTTCGGTTTGGTTAAGTTTATCTCTAAATATAAGATTTTATCAGTGACATCCTCCTCTTGTGTGAACCACAAAATATGTGTTAAGGAAAAACCTGCTGGACATTGAAGCAACATGTGTTTTTCATTGAAATGGGGACGTCTGTCCCTGCTGATGGGTTAAAGCAAAACCATCTTCATTAATCAACAGAAGCAGGTTAATGCTCAGAGTCTCTAAGCTGTATTTGCTTGATGTGTCTGCAGGAGTTAACCGACCTGTCCAGGGATCCTCCGGCTCAGTGCTCCGCTGGACCCGTCGGAGAAGACAGTAAGTTTTCTGTTTTCTTTACACATGAGGACATAAAAACAGAAGCACATTGGCTTTAGTAATTCTCTCTTTTCACCTTTTCTTCCAGTGTTTCATTGGCAAGCTACTATTATGGGGCCTGTAAGTATCAAACTGCTTCTAAGTTATTTAATGGATGTAATCACAGACGCAGCGATGAAGTCGAGTAGATCAACCACAGAATGTATTAAACTACAACAGCAAGTCAATTTGTTAGAATAAGAACTCAGTAGAAGTAAAAATATTCGTCAGGTTATGTACTTGTGCACAAAAGTATCTCCTGAAAGCTTCAGATAAACAAGTGAACATAAACCTGATTTTCTGTGCCCTGTTTTCTGTATTCTAATATGATCTGGGATAAATCAGATATACAGGGATCAAGTCTGTTATATGAAAACCAGAAAGCGTTGGTGCCCTCAGAGTCTGACATAATTCTGAGATCATTAATAACTAATACGTACAGACGGTGACAACATTTCTTAATCAGATGAGAAAATAAGGCCCAGAGTCAGTCAGTATCAGCGGATTCATTCATGTGAGCACTGGTCTGTTCACGTTTACCTGAGGAAAGTTGAAACTCTACCTTGGTCAGAGCCACAGAAAGTAAAAGCCTCTTTACTTTGCAGTTCATTCCTCACCCTGACCTCCACACAATCAGCTGATTCTTTCTCTACGGTAGCTTTAGTAGATTTGATGATGCAAAGTTTTACCTTCATACTATGAATATTTTCACATTGTGACGTCAAACTGTGTCTCCTCCTGTCTACATGCAAACGTAAAGACAGAGTTTTTCCAAATCTCCACTGTGGCAGGAGTTTTCAGATATGATGGTTTTCAGGGACTCGCAGCTTTGTTTATGTATGAACCAAAGGCCCAGACACACTGAAAGATCACCGTTTGTGCTACATGTAAACGGGGCCTTAGCCATGAGCTGCTCTTGTTCACCTGTTGAGTTGCTGTTCCCAATTAACCAGGGTAATTAGGATGCTTCAGAACATCTTTCACTAGTTGGAATTGTACAGAACCTTGGATTTTCCCATAGACTGCAGTTTGAATAATTGTGGACATACCACTTTTTGTCCACGTGTAAATAAAAAAGAAAAACATATTTCCACAATGAGGCCTCTTGTACGTTGTCTTATCTTTTGGGAGAAGCCTGTGTCATTTCCAATAGAAAAATAAATTTAAATTTTTTTAAAAAAGCTTGTTTGAATGAAAGTAGCTGTAAGTAAAAAAAAAAAAAAAAACAGCTGCCAGGGGTATATGTAATTTTGTGTGTCACTGGTGCAATGAAGCGTTTTCTCATTTAGCTTAGCCATTGTGATTGGATGAACTGCTCTTTTCCTTCGCCGGCTCTGCTCATCCGGTGTCTCTGTCAGACTGCTCTCTCTGCCTCCTCTTCCCTCATTGTCTTTGTAAATAATCAGCTCCACAGAACTTAATCTTTTTAACACGCATCAACTGAACAGCTTGTCTGCAGCACCGTGTAGAGACGGACTGATGAAGTTATGAAAGTCCTGCCTTCCATCACTGTGGTCAACAGAGGTTACAGAGACACTGATACAGCTTCATGATCATCATGCACTTGCACCAATGCGACCGTTTCAGTGGCAGTCGGAGCCCTGATGTACTTATGTAGGATGTTAGTGTCCACATGTTGTGCTTTCTGTCGTCAACAGGAACCAGCAGAAATGGAGTTGAACAGTGATTAGTTTAAACATCAATGTGTGTTGTGTGTTTTCCTGCTGCAGCCTGACAGTCCCTACCAGGGCGGCGTATTTTTCCTGACTATTCATTTCCCTACAGATTATCCCTTCAAACCACCCAAGGTCAGTGAACGCCTCACATCCTCTCGCTGCACGTCCTCATTCCTTCTAAACTTAAAGATGTTCTCATTATTGAGCTGCTAACTTTGTTTTTGCTCATTTTCTCCCTTCAGGTCGCCTTCACAACGAGAATTTATCACCCAAATATTAACAGTAATGGCAGCATCTGCTTGGATATATTGAGGTCACAGTGGTCTCCAGCATTAACTATCTCTAAAGGTGAGAAAACAGCCGCTCATTTCGTGTGTTTTAATGGACAAATATAAATATAACATAAATATAATCTAATATATAATACAATATAAGACAAATAAATAAAATGATAAAATAATTAATATTTATTTTGTATGAATTTTATTAGTTTTTTTAATTTGTTTTTATTAGTAGTAATATATTTTTTTTTACAGTTTTTTTGTTTTTTCATTTTTATTAATTTTTTAAAATTTATTTTTTACAATGTCACTTTAAAAGCAAAGAAAATATGCAGAATGTGTGCATTAGGAATGTCGTTTTTCTGTGCATATTTGCTTTGATTTTAAAGTGACATTATAAAAAAAATTGAAGATAATAATAACAAATAAGTTTAAAAACAAATAAATATACAAATAAATTATTATTTGTTAGTTTTTAATCAATCGTTCAAGAGGACAAGCTTCAGGAGAAGTTTAGCCAAAAGACACTAGGTGGTGCTGTTGTCTGGTTGTTGCAGCTGCAGTGTGATTTTAAAAGTTCGAGGCTGCTCCAAATCTTTATAAAGTTTGTCCTGAATGTTTGTTTTAACCTCGTGCAGTTTACGTGATGCTGAGATGTGCTAACACTCCTTCTACAAAACGTATTTATAAAAGGGTTGAGTTACATTATTTATGAAGCTGAGACCAGTTTTAACGTTGGATCAACTGTCTTTCAAGCACTTCTCTTCATATCTTCAGTTTAATTCATTTGTTGTTGTCTGTGAAGGGTTTAAAACGTTGGACATCAGGTTTTTGTTTTTTGTTTTTTTTTGCAGATTAAAACTTAACTCAGGTGAAACACGGGGAATTAAGTTTTTTGTTTTGTATTTTATTTTTTTAAATGAAATTGCTCAGATTTTGTCGTTTCCTCAGCAGAACACCACACCTGATGCATTCGAAGACTGTTGGAAAGTTAAAAACTGTTGCAATTCTTTCTGTTTTTGCAGTTTCAAGGTGAACATTTCAAACCTGCCAGCAGTCAGAGGGTTAATGTTGTTTTTCTGCCAGTAGATTTGTTCTGTTGTGACAGAAATGAGATGTTGTATGTTGTTAACCGTTGTTTTCTCTCTCTACAGTCCTTTTGTCCATTTGTTCTCTCTTATGTGACCCGAATCCTGACGACCCGTTAGTGCCAGAGATTGCTCGCATCTACAAAACAGACCCTGTAAGGTGAGTTCACACCTGCTGGACGCAAACAGAGCAACTGGTTAAACAGTCACAGGTAAACTGGGGTTAAAGCAGGTTAAAGCAACATTCACCTGGGTCTGATAAGCAGCAGCAGCACTGGAGGTTGTTAACCCGACTGTCCTGCTGCTTGGTCTCAGGTATAACAGACTAGCCAGGGAGTGGACAGAGAAGTATGCCATGCTGTGAGGGTAAGACTGAGCTCACCTGTGACTCACCTGAGCTGCCTGCCTAGTCTGTTTCTCTGCTCAACACTTTCTGCCAGCAAAATGGTTCATTTAATAAAAAATCACTCCGATCCTCCATCTGACCTCCTCAGAACATCTGGTTCTGTATCTGCAGAACCTTTATCTACTGACCAGAGTTCTACCTTCAGACTGTGAATATTCCAGAGTTCCAGGTCCTTGAAGTCCACAGAGGAGGGTCAAGATTTATCACTTTAATGGAATTCTTCCATCATTTCTAGATGAATGTAGATCTGATCTGGTGTCAGGTTCTACCAGAACTCAGATGTGTTCTTCCTCCTAAATGTCATGTGTCTATCTGATGTACTGATGAAGGTCTGAGGCTCAGAAATGATGGAAAAAGGCCATTAACGTGATAAATCTGGACCCTCCTCTGTGGACTTCAAGGACCTGGAACTCTGGAACATTCACAGTCTGAAGGTAGAACTCTGGCCAGTAGATAAGGTGCTGCAGATACAGAACCAGATGTTCTGCGGAGGTTCATATTTGGTTGATTTTCTGTGAAAAGATCCAAACGTCTGAACCTTGAAGCACGTCGATGCAACGCATGGCTCCAAGTATCTGTTGTTTCTCCTGCATGCAGCAGTTCAAAATAATACAGCAGAGAACATACCTGCAGTCTGTGTGGTTTCTGAAATAACAGCAACAGTTTGGTTGTTAGCAGAAACAAAGGGTTTGGTGCTGCAGCAGGTGGATTAAAGTCAGAGGATCAAACAGAATAAACGTGATGCTTTCCTTTACAGTTACTGTTCATCAGAACTGAGAAAAGCAGATGCACAGAGTTTTCCTTCAATCTGGTTTTAGCTTTTTGTTTGTTGTCTCTGAACACAGAAGCTCTGGAAGATGAGGACACTCTGTAGATGTGTTGTTGTCAGTTTAGTGGACAGAGTACGAGTCATTCCTGTAGACTCTAGATGTCCGTCAGCCTTCGTTTTTATATGTCTGTGAAGATCCTCAGTCATCCAGGTCATGGTTCTTCTCATAAGTTAATCCGAGCAGCTGGACCTGCTTGAGTTCCTTGAAGACGTTCCACCTCTCATCCAAGAGGCTTCATCAGCTCTGACTGACTAGTTGGGAGTTCCAGATACCTGGATATCCTGAAGGCACCATTAACACTTGAGCTTGGGTTTCAACTGTTGAAACTCAAGCGAGTCCAGCTGCTATGATTAAACTACTTTTGTAGTTGATAAAACGTGGAGCCACAGCTGCTGAACCAGAATTCAAAAATGAGCTGATTTAAGCTGCCTTCTAATGGAGTCATTTTGAGAAACAGATCTGATGTTTACATCGTAGTCCACAACTGCACCAGTAAAAGAAGTTGAAATAACTAAAGCGTGTTAATAATTAGACTGTAAAGTGTTCCGTATGGTCATGTGCAGCTGAACAATTACAGTTACAGACATCTGAACTCATGTGGATGCATCTGTCAGTGAAGATCTAGAGCGATGCGATTAGTTGACTAAACGGTTAAATGCTGCTCCTGCCGGCACCACAAGCACTGGATATTTAATACTTTATGAATGTGTACAGTGCTGGTAAGATGTTACGAAGCCGCCCAACACTAACTGGATGTTGTAAAGCAGCAACGTGCGAGTGTTGAACATCGTGTCCCTGTTGGTCAGTGTTTAGACCTGGAAAATAAAAACTAAGGCTGTGTGTTGGCTGAGGCTGGATAACCACAGAGTGACCACGTTGGAGTTAACCTGCCACGTGTTTTAACCCGTTCAGCCCTGCAGCCCGCGACTTTCTGTTCCATTCATTCTGATTGTCTATCAGTGGGAATCCTCGTATGTGAACAAGAGATTCAATCATGAAATAAATTGTGCAAATGAAGTAAAATGATGTCGTTTGACCCCAAAAATCACCAGAAAACGAGATTTTCGCTGCCTCGTTTCCAAAATGTTTATTAGCGATCAAAGCTAACTAGTTCCAGACTTTGGCTGATGTCTCAGTAGATAAGAACTGATAATCAGTTGCACATATCCCTGGAAATTATGAAGTTTACCTTTTCTCTTTCTTCACACCTGTATTTCACCTGAATGTATACGACCAGAGTAAACCTCCAGATTTATTTAACCGTCAACTTGTCTGCTTTTGATTGACACCAGACATGTAATGATGTGGAGTCTGCTGAAGAATTAAGAGTGATTAATGAAAACCATATCTGATTATGAATTTCAAGTCAAAGATGCTGAGTGTTGAAGGGGTTAAATGTTCACGCTGTGGTCCTGTTTTATAAAATAAAGTGTCACACGTTTAATTTAAAACACAATCTGAACACATGTTTCCAAACCGTGTTTGACCTCGTTGATTACATTCAGCTCAGCTTTGACAGATTTATGATATTCAGCCACTCGGCTCGCCTCAGTTTGGACTTCTTTGTTGATTAAACCTAAATGTAGTTTCCAGTAGCCCAACGCTGTCACACCGTTCCACACAGCGCTGGTTGGAAGGGTCTGATAGGACGGACGCTCTGTCGTGTTCCTTAAAGCCAGTCAGTCAGAACAGGACACACTGGCGCTGTTCACTCTGGAGGAACATTTGCGAGCATGAAACTTTTTTTAAACTTTGGTTGTTTGTAAATGGTGACACAGAGAAGAGGAGAAAGCCACTCAAAGTGCAGGTTAAGATAAGAGAGGATCAACTTGACTGATTCCTCACCGAGAACATTTACAAAAGCCAGCGCAGCTTTACAAGCACATACCCTCGATGTAGGACACAGAAAGTACCCGGATGTCCGACTGCATCTGGTTGGATGTTTTCAGTCATTCTGACAGACGATCCTCTGCAGTTCCCTCAGCAGCTGAGGTTACAGACGGATGACGGCTCATGTCACAACAGACCCAAGTTTAAAATGAAATCCTGAATGATCCTGCAGGACATGATTTAAAACACAGCCCAAGTCTCCACAGGTTGGATTTTTATTCCTTCTAAGAACCTGAACTGGTTTGGTTGAGCGTTCTGGCAGCAGATTGATGATAAAGGAGCTCAATGAGAGGAACCCGTGGAGCCTGCAGACCGTCTGCTGTGGTTTGTGTGTCTGCAGCAGGTTGTGTGTTGTCTTTCTGGCATGGCATCGTCCCTGCAGCCCATGAAGCTGCTGCAGCTGCTGACCACCTGTCTTCTATCTGCAGGTACAACAAGACAGCTCAGGACTGGACGCAGAAGTACGCCATGTGATCCTGCTGCTGCTGCTGCTGCTGCTGCTCACTGCTGGAATTAACGGTTTGATTTTCTCATGTGGCCACGCCCCCTTTTCACCCACCGTAACCGCAATTTGTTCACGTTTTGTTTTTACGCCCCGACGCTTTTAAATTCTCCGTTCGAGGACTGGGAGCTGTGAATGTGCCAACTGCAAAACTAAAAACCCACGAAGAAGAGTGGACTCTGCTCCACCCGGCCGGAGGAGGCTGCTCCGGCAGCAGGAGGGCGCCGATCAATAATCAATAATGCATGTCAGCGATCGGTCCGTGTGCTGCTGAGAACAGGTGTGTCCACTTTAAAAAAAAAAAGAAAAACCAAGAAGCTGTTCCCGGGTTTCTTCTAGTTTCTTTTGTTTTTAGACGAGAGCCGTTAGTTCGTCCATCATCCAACACTGTCTCCTGTTTTTGCACTGAAAAAGAAACAAAGCTCTCAGCGGCTGATCGATCAACTAATAGCTCTGTGATGTTTTTCTCAATAAAGTTGAACAAATTGCATTCGTTCTCTCGTCCTGTTATTTCAGCGTGTGTGTTTGTGGCTGCTGATGATCTCATTGGACAGAAGTCTACGTTCTCCTCTCATATGTGACCGTTTGAATTAAAATAACTGTAACAGCACAGATTCCTGCTGCTGCTTTCATTTGGACAACAGATATAAAAAAAACTGCCTTTATAAAACTATGTCATCCATACTTTTTATTGATCAATGATCCTGGAGAAGTTCCCAGTTCTTCTGTGATGTGGGAGGGTCCTGTCATCAGGACTCCGGTTCTTACTGGGATTGTTCAAGACGTGTTGGACCTGAGGGCTGTACGACAAAACCAGGTTAGTGGCTTATCGAGGTTCATCGAGTTTAAAGCCAGAGTTTTCAGTGTCATGAAGGTGGCTCTCTTTTAACCTGCGAGATTTCCATGGTAACTGATGCTTGGAGCTCGGTCTCCATGGTAACTGATGCTGTGGAACTAAATCTCCATGGTAACTGACACTGTGGCGCTAGGTCTCCATGGTAACTGATGCTGTGGAGCTAAACTGGTGAGGAGCAGGTTATGTTCAGAGTTTCAGATGTAAATCGGCTGACAGAGCGTCTCCCTTTAACCAGATGGTTTCCTGACTGTTATTTATGAGTGATCCAGATTCTCAGCTGAGGGAATGTGTTTTATCTGCTAACATGCTTCGTTGTGTGTCACTAATATCACTGAATGAAGCTGTGGAGGAACAGCATCACACTGTAAACATCACGTTGCTATGGGAACCAGATGTGTATTTAGTGGGTGATGCAGAAATCACATAAATATGTTTTTATGTTTGGTTCTGTTCTGCTGTCAGGTCCGTTTACTCTGCTGCTACTGCAGCTGATAGAACAGATCAGAACATGGATTATTCTGCTGGTATATATTACAGACAATATTCAGTCAATAACATTAATTCACTCTGATTGGGCCAAAACTTAAAGTGATTTCCTGCATTATGGGACAGAGTCAGACCTAAATGAGCTTCAACATCAGATCATGTTTAAATATATGAAGTTTAACTTTAACATGCAGCTGTCAGTTGGAAATAAATCGTTAAAATATTATATATGGACACCTTGAACAGTTTTCTACCAGCATTCCTGTCTTCACCATTTGCAGTAGCGGTGCTTTTTACCGTCATATTTTTAAAATATATATATTCCTCATTGTTCTCCATTTAAACGTGTTGACTGAAGCAGCTGCACACGATCGGTTCATTTTGTGCAGAAGAGTCACGTGACGCGTTCTGTATTTATGTGAACGCGCACAGAGTTTGAAACAGGAAGTCTGAGTTGACAAAGTTGAACCACCTTCGTGATATCCGTAATCTTTGGCTGGGGCTTTCAGTTTTGTCGATTTGGCTACACAAAGAAAGCCTGGCTATGTCAAACTTGCTTGGTAGTACACCCCTCTGGTTTAGACTGGTTCTGAACTTGAGTTTGGATTTGTTCTGGACTTCTTTTACACTTCATTCCAACCTGTTGTTGAACTCGTGTTCCACTGGCTTTGGACTTGGTTTTATGCTAGTTTTTGAATGGTTTGACTCGAGTTTGACTCTTTATTTGAACTTGGTTTTGGTTCTTTTGGACCTGCTTTCTCCCTCATGTTGAGGCTGTTTCTGGTGTCCTGGTTCATTGAGATTCTTTGTGGGTGTTTGGACTCATCGTACCGCTGCAGGACAAATCAGACATGAAGAAGAACTGAAAGCTTTTTCACTGAGGAACAGCTTTTTGATCATTAGTAAAGGATTCTGGAAACTTCTTCAGAACCGAGTTTGGTGGTAAATGATGAACTGCAGTTAGTCTTTTAGACATGCACTCTTGTTTTGAAAATAAAAAGGAGACACTTTGTCCCTTTCTCTGTATTTCCAAACTCTTTGTTTACCAACATGTGGAGAAAGTGAATCTAAGCTTGCTGTAACTTGTCAGACAGCCTTCAGCCTTTAAAGCGACTCAGAGCTCTAAATCTGTAGAGCTGGAAAATCCAAACAGGTAAATGTTCAATGTTTTAACTGTGACACAATCTGAGCCTTCATCATGGTCACTGAAGCTTCTCTGCATGAATCCTAAACTGTTCTGAACCTTCTTTTAACTGGAAGACTCGAACCAGAGCAGGCGACTCAACCAACCAGGAGGCGGCGCTCCGAACACTTCTGAGGTGAGCGCTTTGTTTAAATGCAGCAAACTGAACACAAGTTTAATATTTTAAAAAAACACAAAATTTATTTAAAAAAACAACAGAACCAATCAGAAGCTCATGTCGAACTGTACAGTGCAGAGCAAAGACATAAATATCATCTGCTGGGAACAGAAACAAGCTTTGGTTTCACACTGAAGGAAGTGCAGCTCTGGACTACGTTTCCCACAATGCCTTGCTGTGCAGGCTGACAGTTTCCCCTCACATCCCCAACACATCAGAACTGACTGGAGATGAATGACAACAGGTTCGTGTAGCTGGAGACAGACGAGCAGAAGGTAACATCAAAAAACACTAAATATGAACTTTTTAAAAATGGCCGGAGACGTTCAGACGTGTTCGTTCCTCCTCAGTGACCACGGTAACACCTCGACAGAGTCAGCGCTGAAACATATGTACTGTTGTAGTTGTTTTCTTTCCCTGTAAAGCCACCTGTTCACTGGAACAAGCAGATGGAGTCATTGGTTGGTCATTTAACCTGCAACCAACTCACAAGACGATCAGTTGTGTCGACTGATTGATTCTGATCAGACCTGGATTGTCTTCAATAAGTCTGATCTGAATGAACTTAGTTTGAGTATCAATGAGTCTTTAACCTTATTCAGGACTTTTGGGCTCTTTTGGACCCCAGGCCATCTGGTTTACGTGACAGGTGTTTTTATTTTTAATATAAAAAGAGGGACATTTGTCAGCATCTGGAACCAAAAATATGTCAACGTACCAGAACACGTATTGAACACAGTATAAAGCAGGGGTCTCGAACTCCGGTCCTCGAGGGCCGCAATCCTGCAAGTTTTAGATGTTTCCTTCTTCCAACACGCCTGATTCAAATGATCAAGATCATTATCAGGCTTCTGCAGACCATGATGATGAGCTGATCATTTGAATCAGGTGTGTTGGAAGAAGGAAACATCTAAAACTTGCAGGATTGCGGCCCTCGAGGACCGGAGTTCGAGACTCCTGGTATAAAGTCTGTACTGAATACCAACACATATTTGGTACGTATTCTTTCTTGGAGTCCAGTGGACCCAAAAGACCTTCTAGGTATGGCAACATGGAAGTCCTGAATAGGGTTAAATAATACTAACTTATTTTGTGTCATTTGATGTAAAATCAACCAAATTTAATGAATCAGAATTCTACCTTCAGACTGTGAATGTTCCAGAGGTCCAGGTCCTTGAAGTCCACAGAGGAGGGTCCAGATTGATCACTTTAATGGACTTCTTCCATCATTTCTGAGCCTCAGAACTTCATCAGTGCAGCAGATAGACACATGACATTTTAGGAGGAAGAACACATCTGAGTTCTGCTAGAAACTGACACCAGATCAGTTCATTTACTGAAGGAATTAAAACTGTGTTAATTCCTGCAGCATAATTTTACAGACAGAACCAGAACTGAACACTATCAGAGGAGAATCTGAAGACTCTCAAACCAGCTTGAATGCTGCAGACTGGTTTGATCAACGTGGTTCAACTGTTCTACAAACATCTGAACAGACTAACATGAAAATATCAAACAAAGTGATCAATCTGGACCCTCCTCTGTGGACTTCAAGGACCTGGAACTCTGAAAACATTCGCAGTCTGAAGGTAGAACTGTAGATAGATTCTGAGGAGGTCAGGGAGGAACTCATTGATTTTCCTGGAATGAGCCTCTTGGTTTCTCTACTTGACAATATCATCATGCTGCTTTTGAATCCACAAATCTGAGAAATGAACCCATGCACATCTGGTTCATGTCGGTTTTAAACTACTGAACTTCATGTTTCAGACCATTTGCTCTTTACATGGACACTCCAGTAAGTGAGCGTGTATTTTGACAGATTAGAGAACTGACCACTGTACAATCACTCCAGTATCGTAGCACCTTTTCCCTGCAGACTCTGAACGTCTGATCATGAGGACAGAGCCGACAGAATCCACCACTTCACTCACAGTTCATCAAAGGCACAAACAGGAAGTGAAAGGGAAACTTTTTGGAGCATGAAACAGCTGATCTCTGTGTCGGAGTGTCGTCAGCTCAGATTTACTTTCTGTAAAACAAGATTTACTTTTTAAAAACTCTTTCCACAAACAGACAGAATCGGTTCGTTTCGAAGGTTTGAAGAGAAACTTTCAGCCCCGAAGAAGCATCGTATCGTCTGAAGGTCCGACCCGGTCCAGAGCGGTGGATGGATGGATGGATGGATGGATGGATGGATGGATGGATGGGTGGGTGGATGAGCTGTGCTTCTTCTGATAAAACCAGACGGACCAATCGGGTGTTTACGCCGTGCTAAGCTCCACCCCGCTGTCGCAGACCCCGCTGTCGATCCGAACATCCACCTTCAGATCCTGGACCTGAGCAGCCAAAGACTCGCCTGCAGACACAAACCACAGACGAGTGAGTCGCACTGAAACGGTCACGTGACCTGCGGTAACCATGGCGACGGCACACTCACCTGTCGACTCGTCAGTCGGTGGAGCTTCCTGGCCGTGACGCAGCGCCTCCTCCAGGACGCTCAGCGCTCTGCACTCACCGACCAGCCTCAGACCAGCCAGCAGGTCCCTGATGGTCCCTCCTGAAACCTGCAGACATTCACACACCAAACGTTCATCAGGAGACAGCCGGATAGAAGACGCTTCACCTTCATCCAAGAGTCTGTCTCAGTTCCAGGTATTTACTGTCGCCCCCTAAAGTGTGAATCGTGGTGAAACTGCCCAGTGGGGCGCATCAGGACTGCAGCTTAACGACCTGGTGAGTGGTGTCACCTTCCCTGGCTTCCTCCATCTCAGTAGTAGAAGTAGC